GAAATATCAACAATTGTTCCTCCCTTGAAAGTCTCCGCGAGATTAACTCCTCGAGTTGAGGCTTCGCACCCCTTCCTGGTCACTTTGGAAACCTGCAGAACATCTCTTTCCAAAGACTCGTTCATCCAACGAACAACAAAATGAACCTGTTTTTTTTGCACTAGAAGTGAAGTGAAGTGTTCCAATTATACATATTTTTCCCGAAGTGCTTTGGTAGCCCGAGATTGTTTGATTCACGCGCGGATTAATTTCCTTGTGGTTGTCAGCGTTTATTTATCACTAATATTAAGTATGGATATTTTTCTATTTGTACCCTTCAGAAAGTGAAAATAAACATTATTATTATTATTATTATTATATCTGAAAGGGGGGCGATTGGTGAGAACATTTCGAACATATTCAACCAAATATACTATCATACAAAGTATAACGAATTTCGAGATATCGTTTTTTCAAACATTTTATCTGATTGTATTTCTTTCTTCTTAGAAAGTTGAATACTTATTTCTTCGATATTGAAAAAAGTTTGACATTTCATCTCTGATGACAGGTTATAAAATAAATTACTTTTTTCCCGTGGGTAATCGTTTCCACTAACACTTACTATTATTATACCAGTTGGCAGAGAATGTTTCAAATGTCCTATTGGTGGCCATAAGAATATTATGACATATAATACGATTAGTTACATGACATAATATAATACAATTAGTTACATGAAATATCATATTGACACTACACCTCCTCCATTTATTTTCAGAAAGCGTCAATTGTATTTCGAAACTGTCAGTTACATTTCTTGCGGCTTCCTGCTTCAAATTCGAACATAAACTGAATCTTCATGTTTATGAACACACCTACCAAACAAGAAAGCAATCAAATTATATTACAACGCCACTTACATGAAAATCAATAGGAAAACGGAGTTATTCATACTTAGTTCCACGCTTTTTCAATTTTATACTTCCTCAAATAAAGCTTGTAAACAACCCGATTTCATTCGGAAAGAAACCGAAAGCATACCTACTGAATGATAACAGAGATGAGGTCCATCATGTCATTAAAAATCAACGTTATAAATAACAAGTCAAACTTTTGTGAAATGAGGACCAAGAGAGTTAGTTGGTAGAACTGATATACAGGGTGAGTCATGAGGAGGAACTGTACATACTCCTACCACGAATAGAGGCCCTTGAGGGGAATACCTAATGACCATCAGAAAGTGTCTTCTTCTCTTCTGTACCAATATATAGGATGAATTATGAGATTTGGCAAAAACATCTTCTGGTCATAACTTCAACAGCTCCTTCGATTCGTCTGATTTTTTCATGGAATATTCCTCTACTAAACCCTAATCGACTGACTTTATCAGAATTGGGAAAATCAAGGACTATTTTTGAAAAATTTCGATACTTAAGTTTTCATCAAATAGTTCATCCTGTATATGGTTTTTGTAAACTGTGACAGGAAGTTTTCAAAGCACACAAATAGGTATCAGAAATAAAATATTCAAAATTCTCCTCACACCTCCACAAAATTTTTCAACAAACGATAAATTATAAGCAAAAACGAAAATAATTACTTCGCAACGCAGAAATTTCAGAAATAAAAGTAAGACCCACATTTTCAATGCTTCAGTTCAATGGAAATCAACATGTTCTTTCATTTCCAGGCATGGATTTCGTAATTTCATTTTTTGTGGAGGGTAATAATCACCCTGTAGATCTATTTCAAATCAGTGGATGGGGTATCTGTTTAGATGTCAATGATCATCGATTCAAATAATTCAAGATAGTCGAACACAAAATACAGGTTTTCCTATGACCACCTATGAAAACAGCACAAAACACATTGATTTGTTGTTGAGAAAGTGACTCGTTTCACTATGACAACATAATAATATAACAGTTAGAAAGTTCGAAAGCAAAACACACATGGGTGGAAATATTCGAAAATCGCACAGTAACAACAGTAATAAAACAAATCGAAAAGATAAAACTGTGAATTGAAATCATTAATTAATCATTAATAGCGTAGCATCGTGGTTAGAGCGTCAATGTTCTATCCACGTTGGATTACCGGTAGTCGGTTCGATTCCCACCACGACCGCAGAAATTTTTCTGATGGCCTAAGAAAGTGTTTGGGATCACACGTTAAAAGGTAAGGGGGCAACCGAATGATGGATAAAAACAATTTCAAGAACAACAACAATTTATAGCGATGGCCATCAACATTTTCACAGATACCTCATCCACTGGTTTGAAAAAGATCTACAGGGTGATTATAATCCTCCACAAATAATTGAACTACTAAATCCACGCCTGGAAATGAAATAATATATTGATATCCATTGAGCTAAAGCATTGAAGAGAATTAATTTCCAAATAAATAAATTTTTAGGCAAATTTTCGTTTTTTCATAAAATTTATTGTTTTTTTAAACTGCAGTGAAAGTGTGAGGGAAATTTGGAATATCTAATTTTTGATGTTTTCTCTGTCACAGTTCTCACAAAAACGATATAAAGGATGAACTGTTGGCTAAAAACTTAACTATCAAAATTATTCGAACACGATTCTGGTGTTTCTCGATTCTGAATAAATCAGTCGATTAGAGAGCAGTAGCGGAATATTCCATAAAAAAATCAGATGAATCGAAGAAGCTGTTGGAAAGTTCAGATCATAAGATGTGAAGAAGACACCTTTTATCATTCTGCTGCTGTGTTCCTGGACATCCGATAAGCCTTTGATAGTGTATGACACAAAGGTCTCCTATACAAACTATTCAATATATACTGTCCTAATTATCTAAAACAGGCAAAACAGAATAAAAATTAAAGGTGTACTTTCTCTGCCTAGGCAGAAAAAGTTTGTTGCTATGCATCGTTCCAAGTAATTTGAACGAAATTGGTAATCAAAATTGACACTGACATTGGATGAACACAAAATGATGGAGTTTTCAATAAAAAAAATTACACAGAATTGGTTTTATAATATTCCGAGAAAAAATTATACGGCTTAATTCGACAGTCAATCTACTACTTTGCTACCTAGTAAAACAAATGACTTTCCTAATTATTATCGAGGAAATACAGATGATTGCAAATATCACATCACTTGTACATTATTGTAATAGATTTTTCCTGAGAGAATCTCCCAATAACTCGGAACACTTAATATATATCGTGGGGACGGAAGATTCTCGAACAATCGATGAAAATATTGGAGAGAGAGGTGATATTCTAAGAACGGTAAAAACAAAGGCAACTAATATACAGGGTGTTTCAGAGTTATGGTGACAAATGCCTAGGAAGATTTCTTTCAACAAAATATGTCATTGTGAACATAGGTACGAAAAGGCTTCGTTTCCAAATTAAAAAAGATAGTTTTTTATTAATATCTTGAAAACGGTTTAGCCGATTTGAATGAAATTCTTATGGTTTTTTTAAACAATTATCAGATATTTGCTGGACGAATTAAATTCGATCCAGAATTTTCAGAGGCGTACCCATCGAGCAAGTCGTTTTTTTTGTAGAAAAAAGTCACCCTGAAATGTTTCGGGTTATTCTTGGATACTCAGACAAACTCACTAAAAACACAGCATTTCTGTCTCTAGCTTGCTTTGTTTTCAAGAAAAACTGACCATACCATACCTCGATATATCTCAGCTCCATAAGGAAAAATGCTTAAATATTATCCAAACATTTATTGCACATTATTATTTATGAAAACAAAAGAGTTTGTCTTTAAATACCCTCTTTAAAATGTATATGATCTTCATGAGAAATATTTTTTCAAGATATAAAAGAAAAACTTTTTTTTTACATGTAAATGAGGCATTTTCGGACCCATGTTCATATGAACTTTTTTTTCATATTTTGCTAAGATTAATCTCTCCTAGGCTTTGTCACCACAACTCTGAAACACCCTGTATAAGAGGGAGCAGTTCGCACAACAGCAGTCAGTCAATCAGTCAGTATACCGCACCTTTTGAATCGCTGGAAATATACAAGGTTTTTTGAAATTCAGTATCAAGATTTCTGGGGCTTATTCTTCAGGTCAAAATAAGACTCACTGCATCGAAAGTAGGCGTTTACAGCCTAATTTGAATACGCTTACCTGTCAATTTACTCCCACGGGAAAAAATAGTAGATTTGGAAATACGGACTAAATTCTTTGTTTCGTTTATAAACTTTCTGTCGCTTGCAATGTTTACGCATCTGCGACCGTTATCGAGATACAAAATTTGTATAGTTTTTTACAATTCTCCAATTGAAATTGTCACCAAGGGGAACCTATTATCACAATGAAAATAAAAAACGCTACGTATTTGGTTTGTGATCTGGATCACAAGATTCCCAACATTACGTAAAAAATCAGAAACCTAACGTACTTTCACTTTTTAATAATGGTGCTGGAAATGCCCTGTCCCTTCTATGATAACAAAATCTAGAAGCTTCAACGTTCTGTAGATCGGAAGCGTTTGTGGACACATGTTTATAGGAAAATTTTATTTTGTATAGTGTAGTTATAGTAATACTATAATATTTTATAAATATAGTGATAGTAATACATTAGGTTTCCTTCAAGTGGGGTAAATCAATTCATAATAATTAAATAGTGTTAGTGTTCACGTCTGTCCACGAATAACGTAACAATATTATCGCCATACAATAAATAAGCTACAGTTTGGGTTAGGAATTGAAGAATTCCTCGATTACTGTCTGTAATAAGAAACAATATTACATAATTTTATGTTTTGTTCAATTCACTATTTCACTAATCTGAAAAACAATTATCGATACTTTCTGAAAAACAATTGGAAAAGGTATAGTGTTCATATGGCAACAATATCAACATTCAGAATGTAAATAAGAAGTCTCCATATTGCAGTTTTTTGTCATCATTACATGTAGACACTGGATTTAATACACTGCGATCCTTCTTGAATTAATTCGTAAATAAAGTATCAATGGTTTCATTAACTCGTTACATTCATTTTAGGGATATGCGGAGGAAGTGCATCTGGAAAAACAACAGTGGCACAGAAAATTATCGAATCACTGGGAGTACCATGGGTAACATTACTTAGCATGGATTCATTTTACAAAGTCTTGAATGAGAAACAGCACGATACAGCCGACAGAAACGAATATAATTTTGACCATCCTGATGCCTTCGACTTTGATTTGTTATTAACCACACTACAGAAACTGAAGCAGGGAAGGAAAGTTGAGGTTCCCATTTATAACTTCGTTACACATTCTAGAGAAGCAAGAACGGTTAGTATATTTTTAATCAGATAGGAAAATATCTTTAGATATGGAAGACTACAAAAATATACAATCTTGCATTCCTGATTTATGTTAATTCGATGTCAAACCTTCGCCTTCGTTTTTTAGAGTATGAACCTCTATAAAAATGTAATTTTCCTTGGTTCAATAAAGACTTCTATCTATCTATAATAATAATAATGACGTGGCGCCAAGTTTGCAGCAGTATTCTTTATGGGAAGATGATCTTATCACATTTGATTTCTTTGTCGTAGTTCTTCAAGTTACAATAAATCCTGAGGGTCAACTTGGAACTCAGATTTTTGAATTGAAGCATAACAATAATCGTTATTTTGAATTTGGCCCACATATTTGTTTCGTCGGTGTTAACATTCCTTCAGAGGCAGTGCTATCTATTATCTTCGTATTTGGAATGTAGCATAGATGATTTTATCAAAAATGACTACTATATTCACTCCAGTAGTTCAGGAATTAACAAAAAATTTCAAATACTTATATAAGTTTTATAATAATGTTTGGAGCGCTACGCAAAGATACAAACTCGATAAAAAATATAATATAAAATATTCATTAACATGGTTCTGAATCGTAGCTTTGCATAAAGTGCATACTGAAATACTATCGGTTCTCGTGCATACATCGAATTTTGCAACTAAGTGTCACGAGCATAGAGCACGTTAAGCATCTCTACAAGCGTCTACAAGCATCTCCAACCATTATTATCTAGGTCATAAGTTTTTGATCTTTGCAGATACAGAAACTCAAAATTTGGCAAAGAAGATGAGTTAAAATATTTTTTAGGAGCTTTAAAGCGTCTAGCGGTAGTTATGGCCTGCGGGAAGTGTCTAGCAGTGTTGAATATGAATTTGTAATAATATCTTATGGAACATATATAAAAATCAATCATTAGAATTTGAGTAAAGTTAGCCCTATTTTTTTCTACATTTCAACCATGGTATCTGTGAATTGGCCGTCTAACAACTCAGCTCGTCTGCATTCACTGTACATATAAACACTACTAGAGGCCCCACATTCTGTACTTTTAAAAATGATTTATGTCTGGGGGCCATTGGCTCTTACTGCATCATGAAATCGTTCCAGGCAGCTTTGGAGTGAATATGTCCACGTTCAATAAGTAAGAAAGGAAAATAAAATTGTTCTAAATTGTTCTAAAATTGTTATATCCGTCATTCGGTTGCCCCCTTACGAGCAACCCTCAGAAGTCTTCGAAAGACTTGTGCGAGCAAGGAATGACGGGGGCCTTACCTTTCAACGTGTGATCCCAAACACTTTCTTGGGCCATCAGAAAAATTTCTGCAGTCGATAGGAATCGAACCCACGACCGGCAAGCGAATGCGGATTAGAATATAGACACTCTGTCCGCACGGCTACCTGGCCCCTGAAGGACATGAACAATAAAAACAAGATGTTTATTATTGGTCTTACCTTTGCACAACAATTAATTATTGTATATAAGTTAGTATTAGTAAATACAGGAGGAAAGACAACAGAGCGCTACTGGGCCACAGCTGTGCAGCAGAAATCTGGAAAACACAAAATTGAGGAGATAGCTTAGCAATCCACTTTCTTGTTTTTAATTTTCGTAAACAAGGCAAGCTATTGGCTGCTGTGACAGTTGACAATTTAACGGGCCAATCAAATTGCGAAGGACGTAAACCACATAACGTAAAGACTGTAAACTAAAGTCATATCATCATTGAATGATCTAAGGTGCGAATAAGACATATATGATGATGTTAGCTGCGTAAACATGATTACAAAAATGTATTGTTGCATACGAATTTGGTCACGTGGTTTTGAATTGTTGAAGACTTTGTATATACATCCTTTATAATGGTGTCGCTAGAATTCTGCTACTACTACTACTTTTACCAGGTTTCAAATGAAATCTGGAGGAACAACTGTTATATGTCTAAACATAAATTATGTGTGTATTTTAATCTTCTCTCATGTTTGTCCATATTAACTGAAATTATTATAAATTATAAATAACTTGTAATGCATGTTGAATATTGATATTTTTCTCTTCTTTTGCTAGTGAATGTATCACTTTGTTTTCAATTCATAAAGGGGCTGGACTAGATCTTTTTCAAATTGTCTTCAGCCCTTTTTTGCATAATCATATTTTCATTTGAAGTAAACCTTTATGATTATGTAACTATTCGATTATTTCCATGCAAATTAATGATATTATCATCAATGATATAATTCTTATTTATTACGTTACACCCGCTATACATTATTCAATTTATAATCTAACAATACATAATGTCACTTTAGTTTATGCTGGCACATTTATTATTTCGAACCTGCCATTGTCAGTAGAGTTCCTAAATGTACTTGACACTGCTGTTTTGACGTTTTTTTGTATATTAGAGTACGAATACTAGACAAGCAGTAACAATCAAACATAACCACATACGATTTTGAAGCAAATCATATGTTTTGCCAGACAAGGACAAGAATATGTTTTTCACTTAGATAAAGGATCCTCGCATCTTCCTTCCTCCACAAGTCCTGGGAAGAGTACATCTATATATCTTTCTCTGTCTTTGATTTTTGTATGATAGTGCAAAGCGTCTCCTCGAGTGGGTATCAGGGTACGATGAATTGATTAGAAAATTATTTCTTCTCGAAATATTGAATGATTAGGCTGAAGGACCTCAATGAAGGTCGATATAAAGTTGGTATGTACATATATCCAACGAAATACATATACTATTCCTATGGAATAAGTCTTATATGTAGATATATATATACAGGGTTGGCCACCAGTAACGCCTTGGTCTTTAGAAGGGTAACCACTCATCTTGTTGAAATTCTTCCTCTTTAGGACGTTGCATGTCAACATAGGCTACCATTTGAAATTATTTCGAAACATACAGGGTGTCTCCCAAAAAAAATCCACTGAAGTTATATTTTTTTTAATGGTACACCCTATATATTATTCCATTTCGAGATTCTCCCGGAATATCTGATTTCAACGACTCATCGTACTTGGGGTCTAGCAGTAATGATTACTAAGATATAGGGTGTGAAAAATGGAGATTTTCCAAGTTCAGGAATTGTTTGTGTCGAAACTAATTATTATTGGTCAAAATGATTTACATATCCCTATCTCAATTTTCTATTCACTATCGATTGGTATTTAATGAAAATAGATACAGGGTGGTCAAAAATCTCAATTCTGAACCAACCAGTATTTGTTTTAATTGAATATCAATTGATAGTGGGTACAAAGTTGAGATAGGGACATGTAAACCGTTTTGACCAATTATGAATAGTTTCGACACAAAAAATTCTTGAACGTGGAAAATCTCGAATTTTCACACCGTATATCTCAATAATTATTACTGCTAGACCCCAAGTATGATGGGTCTTTGAAATCAGCTCATCAGGGAGAATCTCAAAATGAAATAATATTTAGGGTGTTCAACTAAAAAAAGAATAACTTAAGTATTTTGCGGTTTTTGGGGACACCCTGTATGTTTTGAAATAATTTCAAATGGTAGCCTATGTTGACATTCAATTTCATAGAGAGGAAGAATTCTAAGAAGATGAGTGGTACGCCTTCTAGAGACCGAGGCGTTACTGGTGGCCCACTCTGTATATATATACGTTCAGTTGAATATTTTTTCATCCCAAAAGTTCAGAATGGGGTAACAACTGATAAATTTCAACCAATGAAACACTTTTATTCGTATGGAACAATTTCACTTGTATAAGAGCGGTAGGTAATAAATAATTAAAAAATGAACATGGATCATGCTCATAAAAAGCAACATTTTTTCTAATATTATTCAATTTGTTATTCAAATCTTCCATTCGGTTTTTCAAACAATTTCCTTGTATTTCTCTTAAGATATTTGCTGATTTAGTTTCAAATCTGAAATAATTTTTAGGTAATAATTCTGAAATTTGCTAACTCTGAATTTTGTATCTGAATCTTTTTGCTTTAACTTATTTTCCAACTCTCTATTTTGTTCTATTTGTTTTTCTTTCAAAATATTTCCGAAATGAAATTCATTATCTGCAAGTTTTTCGTTTCTTGTTGTTTCTTTATTGGAATAAGGTTCTTTTCGATACTCGCTCAGTTTATAAATTGTGGGTTCGGCTCTTTCTCTCAATATGATCTATTCTTCAACATCAAATCTTCCTTTCTGAAGTTTACCTGATAAAAATGCGTTGAAAAATATTCTATATCCTACCAAGAAATTTGAATACCTCGCAAATTTTGTGGCCTGAACTTATATTCCATGCCGGCCGCATCATATTCTGTTTCCATTTTTGTAGAATTACGTTATCTGATGGACATTCGAATAGAGTGAATTGATTTCCCGTGTTCTCACAGTTGTAAACTGCACAAACTTGCATCTTCCTCCTAATTCTCTCAATTTGTCAAACCTTTGAAATTTATGTCATGTACGTCCGTGTAGTGCCAGTTCCCGCTTTTTCCATCAATTTATTTGTGGTTATGTCTGATTATCAGTGCTTGTCATAGTGTTCGTACTCTAATATACAAAAAACGTCAAAACAGCAGTGTCAAGTACATTTAGGAACTCTAATTGTCATTAAACAATATTCTGAAAAATCATTCTCATTTTTCTCTTGATTAGTATTTTGAGAGATATTAGAGATGCAGATAAATCACTGAAGAGTTAAATGTTATTCGGATGATGAATTAAACTTCAATTTGCCTTTAAGGCTATGAACTTTTTTTCCAGAAAACCATGTATGGAGCCAACGTTATTATATTTGAAGGCATCTTGACATTTCACCATCCGAAAGTAACTGAAATGCTAGATATGAAGGTATTTGTTGATACAGATGCAGATGTGAGGTTGGCTAGGAGATTGAAAAGGGACATAAACCAAAGAGGTAGAGATTTGGAGGGTGTTCTGAAACAGGTTAGTAATACTATTTCGATTTTTTTTCGGGCCAAAGACTGTTTGATGAATTCACATTGATTACATTAATTGAAAATAATGTGTATATAGTGTTCTCATTTCATATGTCCTACAAGTCCTGAGAGTTAATTTTGAATAAAGGTTTGAATCATCAATCTGTCAGATGTCAAAAGCTATCAACAATAATCATTGTGTTAAAATATTTTTTCATAAATCACAAGCATGTTATTGTTTTTTTTCTGTATCCTTTTATGTACTAGGTACTCATGCAAATATTCAGAAAATGCATAACTTGACAAATCTCATAGTTTCAAATGAATGTGATTTCTAATGTTGCGTTCTTCTTAACCGTGCTGCTCCTGTGGCGGCGTATAGAATCGGTAATAACGCCTACACAAAATACACCTCGGCTGAAGGACCTCTCATATGGTTAATAACCGGTTGGTGTGTACACTTATACACACCAACAAAGTAAATTACACTTATGTATTCATATACAGAGTGCCCGACAGGAATTATATTTCAACAAAACAAACAAAAAATTTAGACAACTTGTGTGTATACTAACATACACCTACAAAGTACATTATCTATATGTGTTATCTACAATTAAATGAAATCATAAATGGGCAAGTGGACTACTTCTTTTTTTAAATAGAATCATCACTAAATGCCTTTCAATTCCATATTTTTTTCAATAATGCCACCGTAATTTTCAAACGGCTAGTAAGTACCCCGCACATTTAGTACGGAAAATGGATTTCGGCTAATTTTTCTGAAAATTTGATGTTTCAGATATAAGCGTCCTTATTACACAGTCCAATTTACAGATTGATCTTATGACCAGTTTTCGAGCTACAGGGTGTCAATCACATGATTTTGGCTGTTCAGAATATATTTCAGTAGAAATAAACGCTCCATGTCTAATTTCTACCCCATGAATCCCTCTATTCGAATAGATAATAATATCACATACAGGGTATTGCATTTCATCATGACAAGGTAATATTCATGGGAATAGACACATATTGAAAAAATCAGAATTTCGATTTTTACTCAATCACCGAGGACTTGAAAACAAACGGCTAGAATCGGCCAATTATTTTACACACTATGGATCTTGATCATCAACATGAGGATTCATATGATTTCCATATGATAATTCAATATTTATCAAATGGGAACAAATCTCATTATTACCTTAAATTTAGACTAGTTTAAAATTGAATAACCGATGGCATCTGACAACTGACAGCCGGGAAGCACCCACACGCAGAAAACTGAACTTTCTAAGAGCCGCTTTACAGTTTACCATATTTCGTTGCATGCAATTGATTGCTCCAATTCATATTTCCGGCAAAAATGATATGAAGGCTATTCAACACTGAATCGGAATTACCGGCTTGCAATGTCTTTTTGTCATAGATTCTGTGTATTACTTCTCACCGAGTTTTGAGTTGGGTCAAGAGTTGGGTAGAAGAAACCATGAGAAAGGCAAGAAAAGTAAAATCCAATGTGCATCTAATAATGCATTAAATTCCGAAAATCTAACATGTCACCACTAGAATTGCACCAGTAATACAAATTACCGGACTCATTTCTTGCAATGCAACGAAAAATTGCTTCACAAGGTGATACTAATCCGTAGGCGCGCCATGGAAATAGCTGAATTTTTTTTTTAAATAATTGTAAAGCGCCTTCATAATGGAGATTGCGAATGAGTAATATAAATTGCATAAACATCATTTTTCATTCAATCAATAGTATCAATTTGTATTGCAAAAATTGCATATTTCAAGTATTTTATTGTTATGCTTTGAGATTTTTTACGGAAATAAAAATTTAGATTTTTTCGGTGTTCTTGTATTTTGTTCAAGTAAATAGAATGTGATTTGTTCTCAACTGAATTAATTCAAAAAAGTCCGAATTAATTCAAAAAGTCGTACTTTTTTGACTTTTTTATGAAAGTCATGACTTATTCCAACCCTGCTTGTGATACCTCATTGAATAGCTCGTTGAAAATGAATTCCAGTAGTTTTGTTCATATCTCGAACTGGGCCAACTAACAAGTAATATTCATTACCTATAACATTCTGCTAGGCTATGGTGACGTATTAATTCCATAACTTTTTGTATTATGAAAAAAAAAATCAGTCATGTCGAGAACTACCTAAAACCCATACATGATTGCTGAAAAAGTTACGTGAATCACTGATCTGTGAACAGTTGACCGATGAAGCGAGAGAAAACGAAAATCTGCAGAATGTTCTAGTTTCAGCTGGAATATTGTTTTTTTTTTGTTGCTCTGGGTGTGATACTCTCACCTGGGTTCGCCAGACGATACGGACACAGCTCCATCCAATCAAGCTTCAAATGCAGAACACCTCCAAGATAGAAGCTGAAACTGTGACATGTCCGATACTTTTGAGTTCTCAAAAGATTATCAAATTTGTGTTCTGAATATTGTCAAAAGCTGCTTATCAATATTTTTCTCATTGTGGCTATACTCGCGAGATGATCGTATTGAGACAAGTTGTCAGATACCATATATGATATCAAGCATTGCTATAGATGAACTGATAGGCACAGACTTTGAATAATAGTTCATGGCGTTTTTCGAAAATATTGTTGCTTGGGTCTTCGAGTTATTGAATTGGGCGAGGATAGTTCACTATCCGGATCTGCTTCAATCAGAGACTATATTTCATCGATGCGGATATTTGTGCATCGTATGACCGTGAAGCAATGAGGGTGGTATCTATATGAAAATTGAAGACTGGGTCATATGTAACATTGTTTATGTGCTGTACAAACAGTTTTCGAGTCAGAATGGAGCTGAGCGTTTCTTCTGCATTGGTAATCCGTATACCTATTGCTTTCCCGACCACGAATACCTGCATATAATCATAAAAAGATGAAAAAGATATAGGAAAGTAGCTCATTCAGGAGAACTTGGTGCCAAACTACATAGATCAATTGATATATCCTTCCTTCCGCTATATATATTGGTTTTATATAGTGCTCGACTTGAATGATTTTTTTCTCATAGTACAAAAAGTTATGGAATTTATACGTCACCCTAGCTTAGCAGAATGATATAGGTAATGAATATTTTTTGTTAGTTCACCCAGTCCGAGATATGAACAATACCACTGGAATGCATTTTCACCGAGCTATTCAATGAGGTATCACTAGTATAGGGGTTACTATTGAAATGATATGCGTTGGGGTCGTTGTGACTCAGGGGGTTGGTGGGGGTGTTTCATGAGACATTATTTTATTTTCCACTTTATATATTATATAAACAATTATGAACCATTTGTGATATGTATCCCATTTTGTACATGAGTTACATAAATTCTAAGCTTTCAAATTGTCATCACCCTATATAAGGCAAACCGGACATTGTATCAGAGGAAATCATATGAATCCTCATGTTGATGATCAAGATCCATAGTTTGTCAAATAATTGGCCGATTCTAGCCGTTTGTTTTCAACTTTTCAGTGATTGAGTAAAAATCGAAATTCTGATATTTTCAATATTTTTCTATTCCCATGAATATTACCTTGTCATGATGGAATGCAAGCAATTAGACGTGGAGCGTTTATGTCTAACAGGAGATTAATCCCGAAAGGGAATCCCTGTAATGTTCGAAGAACATCGTGCATACATACCGAGGATAGGGAGAGGAGGTAGGTGTTGAAATTTTTGTAACATACGGATAACTTGATTATAATTGGTGTCTGGACATTCATGAGTGGTAATGGAACATTATCTGACCAATAACGAAATGGCATAAAAACCGACGTCACTATTTATTTGACGTATCGCAGAACATAACCAAATTGCGGCGATGAAATGAGCTCTGAAATTAAAAAAAATCAAACAACGCATACACTCATTATTTACATAAAAATAGCAGAGAAGTGTGGCAAAAATTAATTTAGTTCCCTAAAGACCCATTGGAGTAATTGAATGCCAATAATTCAGTATCAGTCCACTCTCCCATTGCTTATCAAACGAAGTGTGATTTTCATAAAATAATGTGGGTATCAGGTACCTTCTTGAGTTATACTAGATAGCTCACTAGGTAAACATTCTATAAAAGTCTATTTGAAAAGATTTCTCACCGGTAAGAACAATTCATCGATATAAATACATACTAGGTAAGAAACTAAAAATTGTATTAGATAATATTGGTGTACAAAGAATGGACGGCGCTCAGGTATCGGAAAACAATATTTATGATGAAAGTGGTCAGGAAAAATCTGGAAATTATTTTCAAATTTCCAACACGGCCGCTAGAGTTCGTAATCGCATTGACCAGTTGAATCACAGTTTTTTTATGAGAATTTTATATATGAAGACATGTATTTAGTTTCAAGCTGCCGCGTGGTTAACACGCCTCTCCGAGGCGCGCTAAGAATATAAAACCCAGTATCGTATAAATTGTTTTGTAAATCGTGCCTTATATTTCCATCAACCATGCAGTCAGACTTCGAAAACGACGAGCCGGCTAAATCATCACGGGGAAACGGGAAGAAGGCTGTAGATGATGCTGACCAAGGAAAATCCCGACCGAAGATATTGTACAGCTACTATTGAAGATAAATACACAATATACAGAGCTATTTGTGAAATACGAAAAGCAAGTGCAACTAAACATGGAGCAGAAACAAGAAATTGGTATACTGAAAAAATCTTTTGAGAAAGAAAAGAACAATAATGATCAGTCCAAACGTAAAAGATGAAAACCTAAAAAATATGATACAGGAAATACCTATCAAAATTTCTGGACGTTATTGTACATAACTTCAAGTACTACAGGATTGGAAATCCGTCGAAGGAGTCTGCTAATAAGAGTATGTTTCGAAAATATAGAAGACAAAGATATGATACTACTAGCCGTAAAGGAAAGAAAATCCCTACAGAAATTCTCAATCCACCAAATAGCACAGCGATTTATCGGGACCATGATCTCATTAAATCAAATCAACTT